AACTGGAAGACATGATGAGCAAATGAAGAAGCTGCCTTGAGTCTTAGACCAGCACTTCGGAAAAAAGTTCAACTGGATGGAAAACAAGAGCTTCACATGAGCTGGACTATGACTTCCTCGGTTCCTCTATCAGAAGAGAAGGATAAAACAGGTCTGAGATGTTTGCTGCCATCTAAAGCAATAATCATGTCTCAGCTGTCAAAACTGTATAGGTGTATAAAGTAGTATAAAACTCCAGGAGATAAAGGGAGATTGTTATTAAACGAGGGTAACGATGATTGTTAGTCAATATTTAAATCTGTCTTTTCTTACCTTTCTAAATTTTGCTTTTTGTTGACACTTTAAATCTAAACCAATCATCTAATGTACTGTACGTGAACATTTTGAAATCAAATGCACAAGCATGACATCCTCATATCGTTTCACATTGCACGTGCAATTCCAGAGAGTTTGGAGGTGCATACGGTATTTACTGTCGCCCTGTGTGCTTTCCCTACTGCATGCCTCCGTGTGTTACCACATGCATACAAAACATTTGGGTGTGTGCACGTATCTTTTGGATGCAAATGGTGCTACTGTAGTCAGGAACGTAGTCTGTATCCCTCTGCCAGACTTAAAGGCATCATGTGATAGGCTGTAATATAAAGTTGGGAGGATTTATATCAATCTGACGTGAGGTAATGTAATTGCAGAGCTGCATAGTTCCCTGTATTACCCACTGAACTGTCTGGAGAGATTGGAGATGCTCTAGGCCAATCCCAGTCTCACATAACCTGAAAAGCTTTAATTTGTTTTTTAATTTAGCCAAGGATGTCTTCAAGTCTTGTGTGTGCCATTGGGGAGAAAAGCCTCTTGCTGTACATCAATCTAAAGCATAGAACAAAAAATCATTCCATACATAATTTATATTTCATCTCTTATTGGACAGCTATGGTATGGTACTGTACCTTCACATGTGTTTATGTTGAAGGATGTGTTATTTTACATTGGGGGGAATGGGCATTTCTGTGTAAGCATTGGGTGTTTGAACATGTGTAACATTACTTGAATGTAGGAATTTTAACATGGAAAATAATAATGCTGTATATGGAAAATTAATATTTACATTCCAATGAGCTGCCTGTACGTTATGGGTTACTTTTTTTTACTCTCCTTATCTTTTACATCTAATTATAAATAAATACATTGTAAACTCTTAAATGTCAGCCTGTGTTGCTTGATTAAATGGTATTTCATTCACACAAGTAACAGACTTATGTATATCACAAGGCTTCATAAGTAGAGGCTCTTAGAACAACAAAAATGCTATTGTAAAGACCTGCATACCACAGAGATTCCAGGACTAATCACTGCATTCCTGCTGGTGTGTTGTGGCGCTCAGCTGGCTTCCTTTAGCTGGGTTCTTTATTTCCTAATGCCTGAAGTGCACACGTATCCACAGAACTTTACCTTAGGATAATGTGAAGTCCTTTTGTAAAGGCACCAACACATTTTAAACAGGGAATTTGTCAACATGAGAGATAGACCTGTCAGGCTTTACTGCTATCTAGCGTTCAGGTGCTGTAACTGCACCGGCAGGCGAGGAGACATTCCTGCAGTGCGCACGGCTCATGACCTGTCCTCGTCCTCTGTCCCCAGCTGTAATCCCCTGCCTGCTGCAGGATGTGGACAGTGAGCAAAACACTATCCATCACAGGCACCTGCACTGTGCGACAAAACCTCTCCAAGTGGTTCAGACATGTGCCTTTATGCAAACACTTTATGCTGCATTAAAGTTGTAGACCCTTTAAAAATTATCAACACAAACAGCAGGTTTTAAAAGCATTTATTCAAGTAATATGTAATTTAAGAAACATGATTTCTTCGGTGGTTTGGAGCTAAAAATAATTTTCCAATATCAGTCGTCTTCTGTTCAAGCTTATAGTGAGAGCCGTTCTACACTTTAATCAAATGACTGAATAAATGTGGACTAAATGCCTGCCCCCTATTGATTTATTCATGGCTCTCATATTGTTTCGACTGTTCAGGATCAGATCGCTTTTCTGTAGCTCACATGTATCGTACTGTTTCCAGCTCAACGCGTGCTATTTTTTTTTCTTTTGTTATAACAGGCATCCGAAGGGTTGGTCTGCTGTGGAGGATTATCTGAAACAGCAGCCCAAAAATATATTTATATGGTCCAAGTCAGCGTCAAAAACATGTTTCTGGCTCATGGGGACGCTTTTCAAAACGACAAATACGCGTATTTAATAAAGAAATCACATTTCCAGTCCAAAAAAGATGGACTTTGAGCATTGCATTCACAGTGTCTAGGCATATTTCCAGCAGTTTCTCCCGCCCTCTCCTCCAAAAACCCCGACTTGATATCGTTGTGCAGCAGAAGTACCGTAACATGAGGCAGCAATGCCATATCGTATATAATCATTTTATTATGGTCTGGGTATTATAGATTTATTTTAAAAAGTAGTCCTACGTACTTTCCAGTTCTGCCTTTTATTGCGCATTGTGCTGCTGTTTTATTTACTTAACACATATTATGTTGAGGGAAATTAAGGCAATTCGAGGTCACCTTCAGTAACACAATCTGTTTACTACTTCGTTACAGAACGAATAGCTTTTTAGTGACAAATAACAGTCTACTTATCGAAAGTGGGTCGATTATATGTGCAATTAATTCCAGCTCAACCATTAACTAAGTGTTGATTCCGCTGGGGATTACAAAAAAACCCATAACGACTGTTCGGGTTAACCCTCGTGTCTGTGTGCGAATTAAAGGAAACAGAAATCATTCAGCTTTTCGTTTTGTGTGAGGTTTTTACAAAATTTTTGGTATTGCTTCTGGTTGTGTGATATTGTAGTGTGTGTGTGTGTGTGTGTGTGTGTGTGTGTGTGTGTGTGTGTGTGTGTGTGTGTGTGTGTGTGTGTGTGTGTGTGTGTGTGAAGATGGAAGTCGGTGTGATGTGGGCTCAGAGGCATATAGGCGGCAGAACATGCGCAGTGGCCATTTGTGCCATATTGGAATGAGGTCGTGAACGAGAACTGCGTCAAGCTGGCGACACGCAGCCGTAGTGACACCGGAAGTATCACGAGAATAAACCCTTCACACGAAGAGAGCTTCTGTTGCTCTGACGACGGTGGCAACTTCCGCCCTTCTAACCAGAATCTAAATTCCTTTATTCAGGGAAATGTACATTGTTAAAGCAATAGATAGAGTTATAGATGGAGACGAACTAAATAGAACAATATTATACAAAACACAAACGCGTAATATAGAAAATAAAAAGTATTATGATTTACAGAAGATTTTAGAACATATTATTTTGAAAGGTCTAACCGGGGCTGTCGGTTTTTACTCACTTTATCTTAACGTTGCTACGAGAGAGCAGGCGGAGAGGAACGGCATCTAAAAAACCGACTTGGAAAAACTACTTAGCGGTAAGGTGGGAATTTTGAGACTAAATATTCACGTACTCTGTGTTGTTAGTTATACGTTGCTTGAGGTGTTTTGCACTGTGGAGGCGCATTCGTCTTTTTTCCCGTCTCTCAAAAAGATGAGTCGAGTGTAAGCGCCCTTATTGCTCGGCAGCTCTTATTGCTCAAGCCGTGACGTTCAGTAACTTGACTCGGACACACAGGCGGTTCTTCCATATGTGCAGCGAGTCCCACACGGTGGTAATACATGTAACACGTGAGTTTATACATTAGACTGCATTTTATTCATAAAAAAAAATCGGTATGTGCCTTGTTCTGCTCAGTGTGTGAAAGTTAGACATCGGCGCTGTAGTGTATCTGCAAAGCCTTCGCGTTAATGGCCCATCTCTGTTTGTCAATGCAGCACAAGCAGTGCAATCTCAAGCTAGTTTAATGATTGTGTGGGTATTTTACTTACTAATTTGCCCTTGGATAACTCAGAATAATGTCGAAGCCTTGCATAATGAAGGCTTGGACGACCTTAGCCGATTTTTTTGTGTGTGGAGCTCGCACATAAACTCATGTGTTCATCACTGCTACTCGAGCTTTTAACAGCTGATGGACGGGAGGAGGATGATTGGGAGGTTTTCAGTTATATGTCTTATTTCACGTTTTGTTAATGCAACCTATTTTTCTTGTGGTGCTTAACTTCCCTATTGTGCAACTTGAGTGATCCGCTGGCAGTGCTGCTTGCTGACGTGCCGCTATGCAATGGCAACTGAAAGAAACCGACTTGTTTGCTGTGTGCATGAAATGTGGATTTTTTTATTTAAGCTACCGATTTGTAGTGAAGTTATATTAATAGAGGTCAGTTTGAGAGAGCTTATGGGATACCATCCTATTACTTGGTCTATATGGCAACCCTTTGTTGACAACGTCTATATAAATTAAAGTTATATATAAATAAAGGCATGACAAGTCATCATAGAAACCTGATCGAAACCTCAACTTGGCTGCACAATATTTAGCTCTTCAATTTTATCAGGAGTTCAATTGAGTATAAACCGATACCATCCGTTTTTAAGGTTCATTTTTACCTCAAATAACACATTAGAGCCCCGTATTTCCTCCTTTGTCTGCACACTCTAAGTCGATTAGTCAACTAATTGGTGGTTTTGGTTTTATTTAATTAATATGTATTAAGTCAATAATAATCATTGTTATGCTTTGTCCATTCAAAAAAAAACCTATTAGCAGGTCTCTGGTAAACACAACAATAAGTGGTGCTTTTGCTTTAGCAGATATGTTGATCAACGCTACAAATGAAATAATTGTAAGTGTTAGTCATCTTAAGCCGACACTTTGACTTTATGTTCACTTAACTTTTCAAGGTTGCAGGTTTTGTATTTGCATTGTTTACCTGAATACACAGAAGGATTGGAGTTTTGTTTGTGAAGCTCAAAGCATTGAAAAATGTAACACTTTCCAGAAACTCCAACAAACCCTAAATAAACAAAACACTGTGAATAGTTTTTCATAGGGTATTCTGTGGAACTGCTCTAATGGAACAATGGTTACTGAGAGGTCTTGGTTTAACAGTCAACACCAACCACCATAAATGAAACCAAAAGCAACTGCTAAAGATAAGTCAATAGCACTAAATGCACTGTAAGTACACAGGGTTATTCTTGAATAAACTGATACTAGATAGTAACATATCTTTTTGTGCTTTGGTTAAAACTAACTTTTACGTTTTTAAATGGTATAAAAAAAGCAATGTTTTGTTAACGCGCTTGAGTTCAGACACCAGCATGAGCACTTACTCATTTTCTGCTTCATTACAGCCTATAATGTAATGTCATTCTGGTCACCAGCAGATGCCATTAAATAGTGTTTGGGGAGATTGTTCAGCAGTTAATTTTATTTTATTGAACATTTGATTTAGATGTATTTCATGCAGAAGTTGTATACCATGTGTGGATATGTATTTTGTGTTTAGAAATTCTCAATTGCATGCAAAGTGCTGATGAGAATATGATTCAGGAACTGCTAAGAGGTTGTAGTTTAGTGTGTGTGTGTGTGTGTGTGTGTGTGTGTGTGTGTGTGTGTGTGTGTGTGTGTGTGTGTGTGTGTGTGTGTGTGTGTGTGTGTGTGTGTGTGTGTGTGTGTGTGTGTGTGTGTGTGTGTGTGTGTGTGTGTGTGTGTGCGCACGTGTGCATGTTTGCGTGGGAGAGTGCACATTCGGCCCTTTCTCTGTTGGGTTCAGTCAGTGTAGCGTGCTGCAGAAAGACTGAGACAGATGCTGCTAGCTGTCGTTCACGCAGACCACTTTCTCTAAATGAAACAGGGGAAGTTGCTTTTCTTCCTGTCTGCCGTACGAGCGGAGGCCGTGCTGTTCTGCAAAGTTAAGTGCTGCAGAAACCCACGGCTTAGACACTCAAATACATTCTAATGATGGCTTCAAAAGTGTTGTAATCAATAAACTCTTAGAGGGTGAATGCAGACACTAGATTATTCTTTTGAGAATGACTTATTCTGTTTCATCTTTTTTAATTTGCATCAAAATGCTTCACATACTGAAAAACAGAGAAAGGCTCCAGCAGTTTGTAGGTAGACATGTGAGATGTACAAAGAATCAGTTTGAAATAAAGCTATGGCTGCAACCAAGAGGTATATGACAAATAGTTACATTGATTCATCGCTTTGTCAATGGAATTTCTGAAAATAGTGCAAAAATATTTTTATATTACTTGTTCTATCAATCCAAAACTCTGAAATATTCTATTTATCATAACATTTAACAAAGAAAAGCAGAACATACAGAGAATAAGTTTGAACTAAATTGATTATCAAAAGAATTTTAAGAATATCTTTTTGTCTTTCAACTTATTATTGAGTTGTTTAAGCATCCGTTATTTCCAACCACAAATTATATGAATATGAATGTTGGTCAAATTACAGCTTTTGAACAGGCCATTATTTCTCCTCCTGTCCCTCACTGCTCTTTTTTTCCCACTCATATGTCAGGAGTGTGACCCCGGGGACAATAGAGCCCTCTGGTGTGTGTGTGTGGGTGGGTGGGTGTGTGTGTGTGTCAGAGGGAGTCTGGGGCAGGGTGAAAGGTGGCGCTGATCCCGGTGGAGCATGGGGGTCGCAGTCGCAGAGTCCGGTCGTCGGGAAGAGGGGGGGTGGAGGGGGGGGTTTGTTGTTTCTGACGGCGGGACAGGCTTTAATAGAGACGTCAGGCACGACAAAGACGAGGCTGACAGGCGAGCTGAAAGGATCTGCGGTGACAGAGCAGCTCTCCTCAGCATCCATACAGCTCTCTGCCTTCTGTCTCATTCATCCCATCTCTTGTTGTGTTAACTTATTTCATCTGCTTTTCACAATGCTGCGGGTCAGTTTGATGTGTCAAAGCTTGTCCACATTCACGTCAAGGCACAGTTTGAGATCTTCACTTCTGGTTGGGGAACGTTTTTAAAAAAAGTTTAAATGAGTTTCACAACTAGATGGTGGATTAGATTAGAATAGTTAAATCTATTCCTGCCATCACGCACCATCTGCTGCGTGAGGTGGTAGCAGCCTGGGCCATCTTAATGAATGACATTTGTGATTGTATTCACCACTTGTCCTGGTTTGCATTGATTGGGTCCAGGATCTGATAGAAGCACTTGGATGTTGATGTCTAAACTTAACCAGCTTTATCATCAAGGCCTTGGAGACCTTGGCTTTGGAACAGCTGGAGGAGCCTTGAAGGAGGTTTTTTTTAAATAAGGCTTTTGAATCTTCTCTCTGCAGGTTGCTCTGCTCCTGTTGCTGGTGTATTAACTTAACTTGAACAATTGCAATAAAACAACTGAATCTGAATCACATAATTGAGTAATAACTTAACATGAATCTTATTTTGAAATTAAATGCATCAAAAAACTTGAGACTGAATGCAATATTTTTGAAATTAAGTTTCAGTAGTGTTTCTGATCCTTTTATGATACTGGAAATAAAACTTTCTTCAGTTCTACATTACGGACTTAATGAACGATTATTTTCCGTATCAAATATCAGCTTTACTTCGACACTAGGGCTGAAATCAATGATTATTTTCATTAACAATTAATCTGCGGATAATGTTCTCGATGAATTGTCAAATAAAATGTCGAAAAATAGTGAAAAATGTCTTTTCCAGTTTCTCATAGTCCAAGGGGATGTCTTTAAAACCCCACATATTTTTGACTTAATCATCTTAAAATAAATATTTGAAAGGCTAAAAAACTGCTTTGGATAAAATATTGCATTAAAAACAACTTTATAAATCATTTAATTATTTATATCAAACAACATTTAATGCAGTTTAGATGTATTTTTAGCAATTTAAATTAAAAAAAAAGACACATTCAGTTTGTAGTGACATGTATTCCTGCCCATAGATGAGTAATAATACTTGTATTATGTGCACCTGTTGGCTGACTCACTGCAGGAACACATATGTCATGTGTTCGTTGGTGTGCTGTAAATATAGTAGCTAGCTACAGAAAGTCTTGACCTCTTGTTTCCGGATCTTTTGTGTAACTTTGTGCTGATACAATTTGTTTTGTGAACTGCTGAGCGGGCTGTTACAACCCAGCAGCATAACATCTCTCATTAATCTTATTGTTTTAGAAACCAGAAGCGAGGTCACTGATTATGTTATGATGTGGAGAAAGTGATTTGATTATGCATAGCACAGCATGCTGCATGACTGCGATAGCTGCAGTTCTATGTTATATCCTCTCTGTCGCCATAGTTTCACTCCAGTGATCATTCATTTGCTCTCGCTTGATAATAATCCTCCTCCTCTGTTCCTCCTCAGAGCCCCTAGTCTCGGCCTTGAGGGGGCACCAGCATGAGTCAGAAGTTGCCGGAGTCTGGTAAGAACTACTCTGTGAACAGCTGCGTGAAATGAGTATGTAATATGTTGGAAAGCAGGTTGGAAAATACAAATGTGTGTGTGTGCGTGTGTTTTCCAGAAAGAGACTCTGCTCAGGATGCGTCTGACTTTAACTGGGACGAATACCTGGAGGAGACTGGAGCCGTGTCGGTGCCGCACCACGCCTTCAAACATGTGGGTGCTGACAACTCTCACATACAACACACATCACAGGAGGAGCTTGTACCAGCTTCTCGTCATCAGCCACTGAACATCTGTGTAAAGTTGTCAAGATACTGCAAGTTAGTTTAAATGGCTCGGTGACTCAAATGTATGGAATGTGTCAGCTTGTAAAAGCATTGAGTCATAAAACAATCAAGAAGTCACTGTAGCACCAAGAGCAGTAACAAAGCTTCTTTAATTACACATGATTCCTATAGTGGCAGGTAGGTTGGAATAAAAACCAATTACAGCACAGAATCAAATATGCTTTTCTTTTCTGTGTGCACTGTTGTATAAGAAGCCAACTAATGGGGTTAACCTGTGAGTGTGTGTTTACTGCCTCAGGTGGACCAGGGCCTGCAGACCGGCCTGGCTCCGGGCATGAAGCTGGAGGTGTGTGTGCGCTCCGAGGCCGACAGCCCGTACTGGGTGGCCAACATCATCACCACATGTGGCCAGCTGCTGCTGCTGCGTTACGAGGGGTACCAGGATGAACGGCGTGCCGACTTCTGGTGTGACCTGATGACGGCAGACCTCCACCCGCTGGGATGGAGCCGCCAGCACGGGAAGACAATGAAGGCCCCCGAGGGTGAGGACTGGCGGGAGATGTTTTTTAGTTGTGAGAGGCGTAGTGAAAGGAGTAATCACCTCGAAAAGTTGCATTGTGATCTGAGTGATCTCAGCACTCGTCAGCCATGAGATGATGATCGTGTGGGGCAAAATATTAACCTTTTTTTTTGTAAATGTTGTTGAGACTTGGTTCCAATTTCAAGCTGTCACATTTTTAACATCTTTAGTGCTTCTAGTTTCTTTTTAAAGTGCTTCAGGGACAGCTGAGTAGTGGAGGTAACACACCGTTTTTAGTACTGTGCACAAAATGCCATTTAACAGTGGAATTAGTGTTAAGTAATTGCACTTTTGTTCAGTATACCTAGGAGTTATACTGATGCAGTGCGGTTGCCCTTGTGATGTTTTAGTATTGCATGAAAAAAGAGAAAGATGCTGAAGCAAATTCAGTGTTTTTTTTCTTACATTTTTTTATTTATGTCACCTAATTAGCACTTGACACCTCGATACGCAACATGTTAAAACAGCTGCGGAAGCTGCATCAAACCATTAAGATAACACAGATGAAAGTTGTTAACAGTATGTTGAAAAAGTGCTTAGATCTAATCATTTTGTATCATATCTTCCTGTATTTATTTTGTATTATGCTAATGCTGGTGACTCAGGGTGACTAAGAGGCAGAGGAGTGTATGTGTGATTCTCAGCCCACCTGCTTGTTTGGTTGATAAATAAACTCTGTATTTATATTCTCCTCCTCAGGTGTGCGTGAGAAGCACCAGGACTGGGAGGCTCTGCTGGAGAAGGCCCTCGCTGAGGAGTGCAGCGTGCCCGCTAACCTGCTGGAACTGGTACGGCGATGTCTTTATTAGTCTCCTCAAGTGTAGGGTGTCTTTCTCTGTACCAAGAACAATCTCAGTACCAAATATATTAATCTGACAACTTCAAAAACACATAATGCAGTTAGATAGAACAACTTGAATTCAGACTTTCTCCTTCAGCTTAGGGCTGCTCAATTAATCATATTTTAATCGCAATTACGATTATGGCTTGCAACAATTACGAAAACTACGTAATCGAAATAAAACGATTATTTTTTTATTATTATTTTTTTTTAAATTTTAATTGGATTTTCAGTTGAATTACTTCAAGTTCAGGGTAATCAACTGTTAAAAACATACTGTTCACATTTTTTTTCTCCAATAAATTGATGTTTTCAAAGTAAATGGATAATAGTTTTTAATAATCTTGATATCAATTATTGACCCAAATAATCGAGATTATGATTTTTGCCATAATCGAGCAGCCCTAGTTCAGCTGTTCAACTGGCAAGGCAAGTGGATTAATTCAACGGACATAAAAAAACTCCAAGTTGACAGTTTATACCCTAAAGTGATGGGAATCGTCGGATGTGACTCGATTTTGACTCACACACACAAACACAACTGTCATATGTACAAATGTTATGCTTTGTTTCTTTCTTGCCTTGTACTTTACTAAAAGGATAAGGTGCTATCTATTAAGTTATTACGCCACAAATATAAATAAATAGTTCAAAAGTGCCGTTACAGGGCCATTACAGTCATTCCCCAGCTGCATTTATGGTGCAGAGACACTAAAAGCATATGTGCAGAAGACACAGAAAAACTGACCAATCAGAGCAGACCGTTTTTTTCGGGTTCTGTTTTAAAGAGACAGGCGCTAAAACAGAGCATTTCAGAAAGAGGTCGAACAGAGGTATATTCAGGCAGGCAGTAGGAGAGAAGAATATTGTGTTTTTTAACATTAAAGCATGTTAACATATTCTAGTCCCAAAACCCAAGTATGAATCTGAAAATGTGCATAAATCAAATCAAATCAAGTTTTATTTATATAGCACATTTATAAACGATTTTTGGTCGAGCCAAAGTGCTGTACATATAATAAAAATAGCCTACAGTAGAGACACTTTGACGCTAATACAACAGCACAGATTGTTCAGAATATCAATATAATATGTCCCCTTTTAAAATGTTGTTTAGAATGAATGCAAACTTGAACTAAATATGACTTTTTAGCCTATTCTTGCATGTGTATCCTGCATTAAGTCCCAAGTCTACAAAAACAAGGCTGTGTGCTTTTCTTTACAGCACCATGGTCGTGCTGTGGAAAGCAAATTGGCTGTAGGAACATCCTGTGAAATTATTTGGGGCTGTTAGTAAGCTTTGAGTGACAGTGCTTCAGTTCGGCCTCTTAGTCATGCAGAGCACGCTCTCCCTCTGCACATTCCTCACCTTGCCTAGGCGTGCGCTTATTTGTGTTTGTGTAAGTGTGTGTGCTATTAGCTTCTCATTTACCCCCCCTCCCTACAGCCGCAGCGGGGCAGGGACCCGGTGGAGCTGCTGTGTGCCGGCTGCTACGTGGAGATCCAGGACGGTGCTGACCCGGGGTCAGCCTGGGCTGCTGAGGTGGAGGAGAACGTTGGAGGAAGGCTGAAGTTGCGTCTGGTAGGAACCGAGGGCCTCCCGGACACACCCACAACCCTCTGGCTCTTTTACCTCCACCCACGCCTCCACCCACCCGGCTGGGCCAAAGAGCACGGCTGCACCCTCAGGCCTCCCTCAGGTCAGTGGCACTCTCTCAGGTCACACTTTATACTTAGGAACAAAAGGAGGAACGGAGAAAGAACAATGTCTACATCTAGAGGTTAAGTGGCAAAGCAGCCATGAGTAATAGCTTCTGTCGGGAAGACATGTGAAGAATCCACATGGCACTTGTGGCCTGGATGCATGTCAAGTTTATTTACTACATTAGATCTAACACCCTCTATCTAAGGACAGAGGGTGTCGTTTTTTTTTCTCATACTGATATTCTGAACAATCTGTGCTATTGTATTAGCTGCAAAGTGTCTCTACTGTAGGCTATTTGTATTATATGTACAGCACTTTGGCTCGACCAAAAATCATTTATAAATGTGCTATATAAATAAATAAATAAAACTTGAAAGGGTTATTACTAATTATCATATGAGTTGCATAAACATTTTCCAATACTTTGATGAATTCACAGTCCTGAAATACAAGGCATTTATTAGACATCTAAATTGATTATACAAGATTAGATGGATCTTTTTTTATGAGGGGAACAAACTGCTTTTGATAAACAAGTATTTCATGTTAAAAAGTTAAAAGGGGAGATATAATGCTTTTTAAATGTAATTAAATGTAACAACAGAGGTTTGGTCTTGTAAATTCTGCATGTTTTTGTATAAAGCCTCTTTTTTTTTATCACTGGCGATAAGAAGGACCACACTGTTTTGTGTTTACTGAACTAATCATGGCAAAATAATTAAAGGTTATTTATACAAGAAAGTCTGAAGTAAAGTCCACACACTTTTGTCTTAGCTTTTCATTAAATACACTTTTTTTGTAAATCAAATGATCCACCAGTAAGTCACGTTTAGATCTTTGTGTTTGTTTCAGACTTGTTGGCCCTGCGGACAGAAGCAGAGTGGGAGGAGGTGCGACAGAGGATCAGCGACCTGCCTCAGGACGAAGCTCTGACTGCAGAGCTCAGTAAGGTACTGCCACCTGTTGTCTCCTGTCTGTCAAACACAGCACTGCTCGAGATCTGATAATCAGGCACTGAGCTAACAGTTGTGACATTCTCCTCGAAATGAGTATCTCAGAGCTGAACTTTTAAAAAAACGGCATGTGTTCTTGTTTTGCGTCTCAGGATCAGCCTGCCATCGCCGCCCATTGTTTCAAAGAAGGAATGAAACTGGAGGCTGTTGAGCCGGCTGCTCCCATTTCCATCAAGCCTGCCACTGTCACCAAGGTAACAGACTTTCCTATCAAACCTGACTCTCCTACACTGCCATGTTGTTGTTTTTCTGGGTGCTGTTCATTAGCCTTAGTTGTGTATGCTTTCTGTCTTCATTTTCACTTAACCATCTACAATGCTGAAACAATGTCCTTTGAACTTTTCTATTTAATGCACAGTCCGATAGAATTTCGGAGCATAAGTCTTTGATGTGACTTGGATAGTAAAAAAAATTAAAGCCGTCAATTAAGAACGACTGCAAGTGTTCTAAAATGTCCTCCTCTCCCCTCCAGGTGTTCAATGAGCAGTACTTCCTGGTGAAGATGGACGACCTCTGTGGCATTGAGGAGTCAGACGGTGCCGCTGGAAGGTCCTTCCTGTGTCACAGAGACAGTCCTGGGATCTTCCCTACTCAGTGGTGCCTTAAAAATGGAGTCACTCTCAGCCCCCCTCCAGGTCAGATGTTGTCCCTTTTTTTTTTTCACTTTAATGGTTATCGGTGATATCAGAGACTTGAGGAACAGCGGTGATTAGATTGCATGTGTTCCCTGTGTGATGTTCTTTCTCACTTCTTTCTTTATTTGATCACAAACAGGACACCAGGGTCCGGACTTTGACTGGGCGGATTACCTGAAACAGTGCGAGGCTGAGGCAGCTCCTCAACACTGCTTTCCAACTGTAAGTCAAGCTCAGTTTTAGCGTTTGTATACCGAGTTCACACCGATCAGGATTCGGTGTTACGGCTGGTCTTTTATACAAAGCCATCAACAGATTCATGTCGGTGAAAGAGTCGATGTGAAAAGAGCTGTTAACATGATCCAAGTGCATTTGGTCCTTCCCTTTGGTCTTTGGCGGAATGGAAATTAAATATGAAATTGTAGCTTACTTTGATTATATAGCTGTCGTTTAAGGCTGCTTGACATGTGCTGTGCCTGCATGAATGGAAACTAATTAATCACCATTAGCAAGCTTTCAGATATCTAGCCTCCTTCCTGTTACTGATGTTGTTTTATCCAAGCAGCAATTCTGGCTACGTAAACAAAATGTTTTTAAATTTCCGTCTAAATTCAATTAACTTGAAAATAAGTATAACCAAGGTTTCTCTGAAAGCTTTGTTCTGTAGCAGCCTCCTGTATCTGGTGATCTCTTGTTGTGTAAACTGTATGTGACGTAGATGGGTTCGGTACGTTTGAAGAGGTTGAACATTGCTCAGATCAATGGTGTAATCCTGCAAAGCAAACAAGTGATCATATTGTCCGTTTTTTCTTTTTATCTTTGTTATAACAGACATCATTATGAAATGTGATGCAATGAGTTACAAACAGGTGTCTCAGTGTGAATTATCTCTCTATTTTTGGACAAAAACAAAACAGGAACAGTGCGACCACAGCTTCAAAGAGGCCATGAAACTGGAGGCTGTCAACCTGCTGTCCCCTGAGAACATTCACGTGGTGACTGTCACCAGGGTCAAAGGGCAGTACATCTGGCTCAGCCTGGAAGGTGAGAGGCGGTAATGAATGTGTTTATGTTAGCGGATGAAAGTAGAACATTAACATTTCAGTGCACAGGCTAATGCTTTACATGTCCCTATGTAGATTTCATCTGAATTAAATGGCTTCATGGTTTAGTTGCTGCCTTTCTATTGTGTGTGGAGATAAGTGTTGCACACCTCAAATACAACATGTTCATATTTTGCTATAGCATGTGAAAACTATTAAAACACTTTGAAAACTGTTGATACACGTTTTGAAAATTAGCATTTATAAATGTCACATGAGCCTGCAAGTAAAATCAAATCATTTGAATGTTGTGACAGTTGTTGTTTACTTTATTATGGGGAACATTATGTCCAGACACTGTAAATACATCACTATGACAATGTGCTCTTATTTAATGAAATTACAGCACAAAATACTATTCCTCTGAAAATGTGGTTGGACTGTAGATCTCTTCCATGTGTGTCTCTATTTCCTCACAAACCAAAAATAATAACATTGAAATTGTCCCGTCTGCGTTCTTTATAGGCATCTAAGGCAGCTAAGATAACAACATTTGCGATTTATTTATCGTGTATCCTGCAGTAGATCCTAACATATCGGGTATGGAAGTAATCTGGAGGTTTTCCAGTTCAAAATGAGAGCAAACTTTCAATGGATGTCAGTTGAATCTCAACAAAGGCCAAATGTGCGCAGACAGATTGGGTGAGGCTTGTTTTAAGACTTGCCAATTTGCCTAATATGCTATGTTGCTACTGAAGCAGTTAATCATATAAAACAGTCAAAGTTGTTTTTGCAAAAAGTGTGCATCACAGAAACCACGACAGGTGAGCATACAGTCATAAATGTACACAAAAATATTTGGCTGATGGTTTCAGTAGTAAGTAAGATAAGCTGCGGATAGACCAAACACATGATCCCCCCCCCAGGGTCACTCCTAGCGTAGATAATGTGTGTAAGGAATGAAGAATGTCACAGTTGCTGAATTTGGCATCTATGCTAGAGTAAGAATGCAGTCTGGGATGCCTTTGCCGCAGCTTGTTGTCGGTGATTGTTTAATAACAGTGTGTGTTTTGTACAGGACTTAAGCAGCCTATGCCCGAGCTGATAGTTCATGTGGACTCCATGGACCTCTTCCCCGTCAGCTGGTGCGAGACTAACGGCTACCCACTCGTCTTCCCCATCAAACCTCAAGGTAAAAACATCATCATCATCATAGTGGACTGTTGATCTTCACACATCTGCCCTAATGAGACTGTTACTAAAGCTCGAACAAACACAACACAAACAAGTTATCACCCTGACATCTAAATGAGTAGCAACATGTCCTTGTGAGACTTGGAACAAAGGAGTCTGTCCTTGTTTTTCAGTTGAAAAAGACAGGAAGATTGCTGTGGTGCAGCCAGAGAAACAGTGAGTATAACACGTTTTCTTGTTGCTTTATTGGTCAAAATGGACGAGACTTATTGACCTTCGACATCTTAACTATTTTTTTCATTTTGCAGTCGATTTCCACCTAAGTCAACATCACCTGACGTCAAGCAGCACATGGGCTACAATTCAGAGACAGGTGAGTGTAATGTCTCTGGTGATATCCACACTGTGATATGTGCTGCCTCATGACTGTCTGTGTAGTCTGTGGTTGTTGTATCATTTGTTTCCTGTTTTGTGTCCATGTACAGGACAGGGGAACGGGAAATACACCTGCCCCAAGATCTACTTCAACCACCGCTGTTTCTCTGGGCCGTACCTCAACAAGGGACGCATTGCAGAGCTTCCTCAGTTCATTGGGCCTGGAAACTGTGTCCTGGTGCTCAAAGAGGTGAGAGGGGCTAGTCCAGCATGGACACCACCAAAAAGTTATCGATTCTAAATCTTTGTTTTACGATACGATAATACTTTAATTTTTCAGCTATGCTAGTGGGATGACTGGCTAGCAATGTTGGTTTTTGGGTCTGCCTTCATGTGTGGTCATAAAGATTTGTACAGACATTTCTGATTCCCAGTAGATTTACTGAACGCTTTAAGAAAGATTTTCTGTTAGCATTCAGTAAAATGTGTAATTTCAATTGCTGGAGATTCTGATCAGCCTTAGCTGTGCTATGTGTTTTTATGTTAGCTTTTTATCATGCTAAACTAAGATAATAACCATGGTAAACAGTAGAGCTGACCATTGTCCTTGTAAACATGTTAGCATGCTAAAGTTAGCGTTTAGCTCAAATCACTGTGCTATAATCAGAGAGTTGCTAGCATGGCTGTAGAATTGTAAGTGTTCAAGTCGTTTTTTCAAACCCTTTATCTCACTAGATTATTTTAAGAGCACATTTCCCAGAAACCCTACTGCATTCTGACCGAATTAGGAAGTTTCCACATGTGCTTCTTCCTTTAATTTCTCAGTAAATGAATGTTATAATTTCTGAGAATTCTATGTTTTGCTCAATCTTTCTCTCCTTGACTTTGGGTGGCAGTGCCCTTTCTACTACAAAACAATCTTAATGATTAATAACCAATGAAACACAATATAAAGGCTGCTAATCTACTGACAACAGTCACACCCAAACGATAATGAAATTCTTGTATGGGTATTAATATTTAACAGTTGGATGTTTAAATGCTGCGCATAGCACAAAATAAACAAATCCCTCCAAACTGCAGATAACCTATGAGTGTTGCAATTCTCTGCATGTCTTATTGTCATCTTTTCGTTTCCAGGTACTTACTCTGCTGATAAACTCGGCATACAAGCCCAGCCGGGTGCTGAGGGAGCTGCAGCTGGACCAGGAGAGCCGCTGGCAGGGCCATGGAGAGACACTCAAAGCAAAGTGAGGGGAAGCACCATTTAATCTTCATCTCAAAGTACTGCACTGTAGAAAACCTGCAGGAGTAGCAGCTGGCCTATTTTAAAACACATGCTTAATTTAAAATGTGCTTGAATGCACAAGTGGAAATACATATCTGAACAGCGGAATTCAGCACAAGCGTCTGATGATTCTTTAAAGCAATGATTTAGCATCTGAGTTTCTTTTAAGAGAGAACTTGTTTGGATCAAACATTAATATAATAGAAGTTTTAGTGAGTAGGATGAATCAGTTTTTAAATAATGTTTTTTAACCAAATATTGTGTGGAAATGTTAAGGATTCAAAGCTATGTATTTAATATGTAACCTTGATTTTCCTTCAATGTCAGGTACAAGGGGAAGAGTTACCGGGCCACTGTGGAAATAGTCCGCACTGCAGACCGTGTGGCAGACTTCTGCAGGAAAACATGCATCAAGCTCGAGTGCTGCCCGAACCTGTTCGGACCTCGCATGGTTCTGGAGCGCTGCTCAGAAAACTGCTCTGTCCTCACCAAGACCAAATACAGTAGGTGGTTTACAGAACTACACCCTGCAGGTTGTGGAGAGGTCTCTTTTCTATCAGAGCAGACTATGAACATAACCTCTAATTGCTTTAATGACTTAGTACTCTCTATATTTGCTTGTCAGCCGTGACCTTAATTCTTAACATTATTCAAACCTGTTCTAATTTAATACAAAGCTCATTATTTTTTCCTTTTTAAGAAACCTTCAGCTCTTTTCATTTATGTTGCTCATGAATAGAATGATTGAGTATGTGAGTGCTCGCCTAATGAATAGAGAAACCCTGCAAAGCACACGGACAGAATGTGTGATTTAGAAATGTCATTACTTCCTACAGGCAATGGATGCATGTTTTGCTTTAAACATGTCAGAATTGTCCTCTTTTGTCTTAAACTGAACTATTTTGAACGCAGAGAGTCACACTTTTTTTCTATTTCAAATCTAATTGATGTGTTTACGCTGCAAACCTGGAGCTAAAGACTGATGCAATGTGATAGCAATGAAAACATTTTCACACTTTCACTTTTTTAATATCACTCAGCATTGGCACGCGGCACCGTAACCAGTGGCACACTAGGAATAAGTGGAATAAGTGTGCAAAAATATTTAAATTGTATTTTCGGATCCTGAACGAGACCGCCGCCAGAGTGCGTCTCCCCGTTACCTGCAGAAGGAAGCCAT